GGCCACAAGAGTTCCATTCTTTTCTCCTATTTGATATCGTCTTACTTCATGTTTGTCAACGTCAGAGATGTAGAGATATCTCTGATCATCCATGGCTAATCCGCGGCAGCTGATGTTGTCGATAAGGATTTCTCCTTGAGTTGTATCACTACGACGAAACCATCGCATGACTCGTCGATTCGCTCGATCAGAAATAATGAGACTATCCACCTGTTTGTCGATCAACACATTGGTTGGACAATTCAATTGCTTCAACTGACTTCCTCCACCAGTGCCACCAGCTACTACTCTTCCATCTGTATCACCCATCTTCCATTGAATAATACGGTCATTGCCGCAGTCAGCGATGAACATCGTTTTATCACCATCAAGAAAAAGACCACAAGGAAAGTTCAGTTGATTAGTAGCACTGCCTTCGCCATGGCCTCCAGCAACGATTATTCCATTCTGTGCCCATTGAGCATCGGTTGGAATATTAGGAATCACTAGAATGAACAAAATAATAAAAAGGAAACGTCAATGTCAAAAAGATCGTCTTCCTCTTGCAGCAGCAAGAGCAACAAATGTAACATTCGTCTTCGGATGTTCTTTCCGCAGATCAAAAATCTGGAAGTCTTTTTCTAGCTTTTTATGAAGAAAAGAAGATTTCTTAACTATTCTTGCCAAAATCTATATGATCTCAAAAAGTAGACTGTTCACGGTAAAGCAAAACTGTACCTAGAGTTTTTTATACGGAAGCTTTTCGAGAAAGAGCAATGTTGGTTCGATGCATACTTTCGATAGGAAAAAATTAGGATCTGAAGATTTCATTCCGAATTGTGGGAATGCAAAATCTTTAGGCGATAAAATTTTCCTCGAACAACAAATATCATAACTAGTTCGTGGATCTTTTGGGAAAATTGAGGACGCTTTTCATATCGTAGAACAAAACTTCTGATCATATGATTCTCTGGATGATCAATACAAACCTGCCGAAAGGTCTTCGTAACATACGCATAGTGAATGCAGGTGCGATTTTACTAGCCTTCTGGTAACTCTATAGGAAAAGATAAGGATCTCACTCGAAGAAAGCTCGAAAGAGTTCTGATAACAAGGATCTTAGCTATAAAAGAATGAGCAATATCAGAATTCGAAATTGAACAATGCTTAGATATAATCTGCATCTTGCTAGAATACTGATGCTAAATATTCGCACGATTCCGTGCAAGTGATTCTTTAAAGGATCATGCATGATAGGTATGAGTGCTCTTATTCTTCACCTGTATCTAGTTTCAGACCCACACTCACCCCCAAAACAGTAAGCATTATAATCTTAGTTGCATGAACACAAGCTGATGTTTGAAGGCTTAAACTTTTATTCGATCAAAGTTTTATTCATTTTGATTTTTGAAAAGCATAATTTAAATCAATAGTTGCTATTCTTATAATGTCTTCGAAATGTAAGTGTTGAAAACCAATTGTCAAACCCTTAGAAACGTATCGTAATTTTAAGTTGAGCCATATATTATCTCTGACGAAACTCAAAGACAAAAAATGATCAATTCAACTCATTATAACTGATAGATTGAATGAAGTGGTTCAGAAATATTGAATCGATTGAAATAATTATAGTCATTTTTAATTTTAAAAATGCAGAACCTAGCTTTAGTCGAGATCTTAACTAAATTTAGTTATATCAATCAATTTTCATTTATGTATGTCTTATTATACCGGGTGGAAATCTCAAAACCTATAACTGAAAAAAAAATTTTTAGTGTTATCTGTTTTCTAGGATCAACAAACAAAGATCTATCTAAAATGGTTTGGGGACTATAATGATGTTAATAAAAGTCTTGCTGAATCAAAATTCATTGGAAATATAAAAGTATATGAAGACTTAGAATTTAAAAAAATATATCACACGACTCTAGGATAACAATCAGAATCGAACGACACATGTTGATTTTAAAATTGAAGAAAGAATAGTTAGTAAGATAGGAGAACATAATGTATAAAATTTTAGTTAATTTTTCACCATCACTATTTGTTCGTTAGTGTAGTCAAAATATAGGTCTGACTGTTTGTAATATAAATAACAAATCAATGAATAAATCCTTATCACATTCTAAAATCAGAAGAGGTTCTTATTATTTTATCTGCTACTTTGCATATTAATGTTTGCCTGATATGATCTTCTTTGATATTAGTTTCACTGATAGAATTTATACTGAAGTCTTACATAGATAATATTAATACTTAGTATTCCAAAATTTAGTCCAGTCTTTGTTTGACTCAGAGTGAGTCTAACTCTCGTTAGCTCTTAAGTTGTCCTTATATGTAATTAATATGTTTTTTTTTAGTATTATAAAGCTAAACTGTTGTCTAAATCAAAACATAATATTTTAGAGATTTCTTTCATTGTTTACAGATCTTCATATCATCAGAGTAGAAATATAATCATATGAAATATGAATAAATAGTACTGGCTAATATTTCTCAATGATATCTTTTACATTTATTCAATATCAAAATGATATAAGTATTGTCAAAAATGCAAAATCAACTAACATTCCAGAGAATTTAAAATACTTTTTGCCGAATAAACTACTATGCATAATTAGTGTTAAAAAAACAACTCACTTGGATATGTAAAAAATTAAACTGTATGAAATATTCGTGTTTGTGCTCTAGATATCACTTGTTCGGTAACTTATTATTGGAATTGATTATGTAAAGATTGACTTTTTGATATGAGCAAGAAATCTAAAATACAATAGCCATGTTTACGGTTTGATACATATTATTTCGTATGGACAGTAGCATCAAAAAATGATAGAAAAATAATACAGATTGATTGAAAACCTATTTTTCAGATTACGAAAAGCCATTATCAAGATTGGAATTGTGGGATTATGTGTTAGCTTATGAAACCTCGCAAGGGTATGGCTGTGGGTGTAGCTATTACCTTCACCCACACCCGGCATCTACACACCCACATTCCACATCTACATCCTAATTTGGAAAGCTTACGTGAAATTCTGTTGTAATTTGAATAAAAGCTATACCATCTTTTTTGTTTGAAGATGAAATTCTTTCTTACCAGTGAATAGTATGCATAAGACACAAAAATAATGTATGAATTTTACCTGCGCACGATTTTTTATCAAGTAAGCGACAAGTAAGTTGCTTTGGTCTCCTTAATACATCCAGAAGCTTCTATTTGCATTTTTCTTTGATGTCTCGAACAAAAAAAACGAGAAGAGAGAGAAAGATCAAGCATTGAAATTATCACAACTACTTTTTTTTCTACAGTGATAAAGAAACACTGCATGCTGCGATATCAGAATGTTGACAGTGTTGAAGCAATTTCTATTACAAAAAGACAAGTGTGTCCCTGACAAGAAACAGAATTCTCTCTCTATTTTCCCCACTTACATTGTCAATCCTGTTCTGACTGTCTTTAAAAAGTTCAAAACATTTACTATTGATGGTCGAATATCGTCGTTTTTGTTACCATAGATCTACTAACAATTACGAGACAAGCAAAAAAACTGATTACATGGCACTATCAATGAAATATTTCCTACACAAATTTAAATCTATTCAGGAAATATTGACATAATGAGAATTTGAAATCACTACACCTCGGTCAGTTAATATTCAAGGTTCTTACGAACTGTACACTTTGGACTTCGGTACAGTTCAAGATCGTATGAGCTACATGTATCAACCTTTTCTTGTCAAATGAAATGTTGTTATAGAAGAATTGCCATAAACACAGTTTAAGAAGAAAGACTGAAAAGCCTGACTGCATTCTACTGTTGTTTTCGAGATAGAAGAAACAGTCAGTAAGGGTGAAATTATTACTGAAAAACATTTCGTCCTCGAAGGATTTTCTATGAGATTTTGAGTAGTGAAATCACTTTCTAGGAATGGCAATTCCAATCAGAAAAATCACCGAGGCTTATTAAGAACAAGGAGCAATCGCAAAATTCTGACTTCTCATGCATCGCATATGTTATAAAATATCGAATTATCTATATCTAGCTATTTTCGACATGGTGAAATTTAAAGTACGAAAAACTGAAAATCTATGCCGTATTATAGTAATGCGTGTAAAGACCAGCACAAGGACACTGGTTAATATCCTCGATTACTGTTTTTGGAGTCTCATCATATCCTAGAAAAAGGTAGATATAGATAGTTCGGTACTCACTAGAATCTGACAGATCTAATTGCCCAAACTTTCTTAGAAAATTTTTTGAAGTTTTCTGACGACCGAATTTGGAAGCCTGCTCTCGTTGATAAGTTTACCTTTTTGCACATTTGCTTCTCGAATGTCGAATACCGAAGATCTTACGGTGCAGACCTTCCTAAAATAATTTGCCTCACTACCTATTACTTCTATTTAGACATGGAGAGCTGTGGTTTTTTCGCATACAATCGACTTCAGTTTATTTTGAGTGCGAGTCCTAAGATAATAAAATAGATTTGTTGTACGGAACAATTGGTTGAGTAGGAACAGCTACGTTTACATAGGTTCGTACGGATTTTGGTGGATCTTTTCTTAAGCTATGCATCTAGAGTCATAATCTTTATGTCCACACCAACAGTCACACCCTCTCGTATTAATACACAGAAATGATAAGATATGTGTTCTTTCACTAGTGGAATGAGATAATTTCATATTTTTCACAAAGTTTACTTTATATTCGTCAAAAACTAAAACAATGCTATAGTCAGATGTGAAATATAAAATCCATCCCCATAAGTTCTATTCACTGAACCAGAAAATACAATCTATAGAAAATTTCGATTTTATTGATTTCGATTAAAATCAATTGAAGTTGGTAGGGAATCAAATATTGCATCTTCTGAGAGGACACTTAGGAATATGTGTTATATCTCAACTCGGATATATGCCAATGAAAAAATTTTTCAAAACTTTTGACAAGTTCATGAAAGCATCACATTCAAAAGAGCAATTTGAAAGACATATTTATTTCTAAAAATCTATCATCTCAAGCGTAGACTTGTTTTTCAATGTACTGAAGTAAAGCTACTAGGCCAGCCACTGTTTCTTCACCAGTTGGAATGATTTGGTCTTCAGGAAGCAAAAATCCATATTTACCTATTGAACAAGGATTTAATAGCAGTTCGTTAAACTTAAATAATTACACTTACCGGTATCACGAAGTTCGACACCATAACTAAATGTTACATTAGCTACGCCATAGGTCCAATCGGCTGTACTACCCGATGCAACATAGATGATTTGAGCAATGGCGCCATGCTGATATTGGGTTCCTGGAATATTAAACAAAAATATTTCTGAAATAATGAGCATTTCGCAGTAGACGAACCATGTACAGCACGGAGTGCGTTGACAGCTTGGATAGATCCATCATCTTGTAATTTGAATTGTGGTGGTCTCAATGTTGTATAACCTAGAGAGTAATGTTAGAAGATGAAATCGAACATTACACTCGACGCTTACCCCATGGTGACATCCACAATTGTGAGTACGAATGAAAATTGATATAGTGCACAATTGTATTTTGTTGATCAGTGATGAATTTCGCTACTTGAGCTGTTTCAATTTCGGAAAATACTTTTTCGCCACAGAAAGTGTCCGAACAAGGATCATGCGAAGCACCACCTAAAATTTATCATATGAAATCGAAGGCATCATAATGTGCAAATGATAAACTTACTTTCACACCAATGATAATCCCAATTACGATTCGGATCCGCACCATAACACAGCGGAACCGATGTTTTGCTACGAGTCTTGCGCCATAAACGATCTTGAAAAAAAAACAAAAATATTCATAGGAATAGTCTTCTCTGATGTTAGGTATTACCTTTTGTCCATGTATATGCATAGCCATCAACATTGAATACAGGCAAAATATAATAATCAAATTGATCAACTAGATGCGTAATGGTCGGGTCTTGGCCATACTTTGACAGAAGAGTATAAGCAATGTAGATGACTGTTGCTGGACTAATCCATTCTCGAGCGTGAATTCCTATATACGGATACAGTTGAAAATAAACATGATTTAAAAAAAAAAGAAGGAATCACCGACCTCCGTCCCACCAAACAGCCTTTTTCGAGGCGGCTTTGGTACCATCACGCTTGGTTGCCATCTTCGTTGATGAAATTTTGAAGCCTTTCATGTCTCTATTTTCGTATGATTTTCCGACGGTAAACGATGTGGCCATTTCCGGATAGGTCGCAACCATTTGATCAACCCATGCATGAATCTCTTCAACAGTGTGATACTTATCGTAGGCAAAGTCATTTCCCTTCGACGATGATTGAGGTAAGCTATGTAGAATTCTTTGCCTTTCAATCATTGCACCAATATCAGCTATATGAACCACATATTCGATTTTCACACCGTCCGATGTCAAGAAATCAGCGAAACCATCGATTGCGTCAGGTGGCACACGAACATCGATCTATTTGAGAAGAAAAAAACGTCATTAATACTAATGAATGGAAACATATTTGAATAAAAACGTACTGGTTCATGAGTGCGAAAGTGTTCTGACCAAAAGTTAATATCGTGCAGGTGAGCTATACGACTGAAAGCGATTATTTTAGCAACTTGGTCGTTATTAGTGACATGCAAACGCCATAGCTGATGATTTGCGTACGATTTAGCATAATTTGCATTGGCACCAATTGTCATAGATAGAACAAGAAATAGAAAAGGAGCAGGCAACAGTCTCATTCTCATAGATGAAAATCGACTCATACAAAGTTAGAGAAGTGGTATAAAATGACTGCCTTTGTTACATTTATAGATACAGAGATGTCCGAAGAAAGATAATAGTGACAACAGATAAGATTTTGTTTTTGTCCTTGTCATTCTTACCGATTGCAAATACAAAAGAAACATGACTCGATGTTAATACAACATAATGTATGATCAGCATGACGAATTGTATATCACCCAAGCGTTTGTAAAAATGTCAAGTTTTCCTATCACTCGAAATGATATCATAGATCTACTTAAGTGTATTTATGTTAATTAGAGTCAGATAAAACGCAAATAAATCACTTCAACCAGTAAAAATAAGTCGACTATTCGATATTTATACTGGTCATTTTTATTTTTTTCATCAACCATTTCATTTATTTTACTGACCACAAATCATATTCGAATTTATGATGTCTTAATAAAGCTGCTATAGCGGCTTTACTTTTTCTTGCTGTCCACGTTTCATGAAATCGATTCATATATACATTCGACGGATAAATATATGTAAAAAACCCTATAGTCTGTAATGAATAATACAAAAAGTAAAATGCTATATGTAATCGAAGATAGGCATTCATATTTGATTTTGAACAGAGATGCTGTGTAATAGAGCCAGACAGATTAGTTAACAGGGCATGTGGTAGTGTACATACGAGAATAACTATTGGTGGAATAAAAAAGCTTTTATGTTTCTTTAACTGTTGACACATAATCTTGCTCCATTCACATCGTTTTGCATCAGTTAGGATAATTTTATGCCGTATAATATCAATCAAAACGCAGACAGTTGATAGAACATGTAAAATCAATGGTATAACATAGTGAATGTACATACTATTAGTTATTTCATCCACTAACTTCCAATGAGCTGAAAATTGACGAAATTTACAGAGACGCATGCTAGGTACAATTGGATGTACTGCAGTTTGCCAGCCGATAAATGTTGTTATGTTTGCTGCTGCAGTTAAGAAAATAAGTAACACTGAAATTAAAATAGCATATTTACGTGAACGATATAAACTGTATCCATAAAGTTGTATTAATACTCGTTCAATTGATACAAATGCACCGGTCCATAAACATAAAATCAATGTAGAACTAAAAATTGTTGTAATTATACGACAATGAATTAAACTATTTTTATCTAATTCTTCGTTAAAAAATAGTGTAACAATAATTCTGAAATACAACATAATCATTCCAATTAAACTAGCGAAAGAAAAGACGATCAAATAGACACCCAATGAAGTAATACGAATTGTTTTCTGTAGTACAGTTTCAATTGTTAGTAAATTGCAAATAGTAGCCGTTATAAATTGTAATGTAGACAGACTGACATAAATTACTTGTAATGCTACTTGCCATTTTAATGATTTCTGACTAAGTGTATCGATCGACATTGAAGCTGACATTGAAAAACTCAAATAATTATTTGATGTAGTTCCATTACATGTAGTGGAAGCAGTACTATTATTAGACATTATTTTTCTTTATATGCATACATACAGAATACATGCTCGGTTATCAGCCATATGACGTAGATATTATTTAATGATAACGACTGGTTATTTCCAATGCTATTAATTGAGGTGTAAAAAGGAAGCATGTGTTTTTTTTCTCAACATGAAGAAAATACGCAATAGGGCTGCATCAGCATTAATTCAGTTCTTTTCTTGTGCAATATCGATCCTCTCTTTTCAACGCATAGATATATATACGTTATTTAGCGGGCTTAGGTATTGTGAACATAACGAACGCACAAATTTCAGAATCACACATGAAGATGGACTTCCACAGTCTTGAAGTTTTTCTTGTATCTTTTATTGTCACTGAGTGCAAATATTACATAAGTATAAAGCAATTATTCTGTGTTGGAGAAACAAGAAAAAGCAAGAGTTGTTCCCACGAATAAGTCTTTTTCGTGTACCAATCAATGTAAAACAATAAATTCATTTATGAGAGGAAGGAACACTAATCACAATATGAGGAGAAAAGGCTGACTCTTGTTTTCTATAACTCCTACGATTTCTACCGACGTCAATGTGATACTTTCCTTTCTATTATGTTCATTCGGTTGGTTTTTGAGTCATGTGATGTATTCATCTTGAGAATAATATATCTTTCATACGACCAAGTCTTTCGGCAATGAGGGATGTGCACTTATATCACCCAGTATGTGACGCAACAAAATACGATTATAAACCATCGCTGTAACGCTCAACTTGGCACGCTAGTCGAGGATATAACGGTGAGAAAATTTTAAATGCACCACTGTATGTCATATTTGTTAATACTATTGCATAGGAAAAAAAAAGAACACTTTATATATTTTTGATGAAAGTTATTTTGAATACAACGAGAAGAGTTCCTCGGGTTTGATTTGTGATGAAAATATCTCAGTGGTCAATAGTTATATCGTGGATATAACCTATGAGAACTTTTGGGTGCAGAATCACGTAGCTACAATGCACGTGATACCTACTCATCAGAATGCGATAGCATCAGCATGTAGACCAAATTTTTTTCAACATTGGATAGAGTCCAAATTTCCACCCTGACGTACTCGCTTTCGGACTCAGCAGAACTTTTCTCAAATGGATCTTATGGAGATATTCTTCTCATAGATCCTCAATGTAATAAACTGAACATTTAGCTTTATTTCACTATAGAATACAATTAGTTTTCGATTTCGACCACAGTTTTATAACCAGCAGCATGGTTCCTACAAGGTTCGATAGCAATCAACTGGTTTTTTTAAAAAATCTTTTCTTCGAATTTCCATACTTACTCAGAGATGTAGATAGGTGGAAGACTTTTTCGAGTTCCAGAAGATATGTAGTGCTTTCAATTTGGAGCAGGCTCTAATACTTTTCAGGCCAAATTTTCGATATAAAAGGGAAATTGAAAATGGTCTTATACGAAAGCATCCTATGGTATTACAACACTGTCAAGCATATCAGAACGTTTTTATTCAAGGTCACTAAATCTGATGATTTACTATGTGTTTTTTCTTAAGTTCGAAAAAACCAATTGCAAACAGTCAATAAAGTGTCAGTTTCTTATTGGGCTTTTAGCTATACAAACGCAAGCAGCTATTCATACGCCTCCTGCCAAAACAGATTATCTTTTCACGAAAAAGAACGAAAAGAAAATATGCACGACAACTCCCCTTTTTTGATTCATGAAGGAACCTTTTCAAGTGCTCCCTTCCGATTTCGATGAGTCTTTGCATATAGATGCTATATAGCGTTTTGAGAAAAGCTCTAAAAGGATATAGAGTATGGGTGTGGGTGTTTGGATTTTAACGACTGCTTAAGAAAGAATAGCTACACCTACACTCATCCATGAGTCCTAATAATAGCGATACTGCATACCATAATACTAATTAAAATTGAATGATTTTGAAGAGAAAATCATTCAAAAAATATGTCATTATTTCTACATGAATCATTTACGACTAGCGATGGGACTTAAAAATGGGTGACACGGGACAATTATATGGTTTTATTGACAAAAAGATTATGAATTAATAGATTGTTCGAGCCTTCAACAAGACATTTTCGTACATCATTCAGCAATTCTACATATGCTATTTGGATGTACTTTTTTAAATTTTGGTGACTATGGCGAATTTCATGTTATTGAAAGAGATCAAGGATGAAAAGCTAGAAGATTAGCTCGAATCAGGCATTGACATTGTCAAAGAACTAACAGAATTATTTATTTCTGCTTGAATAAATTTTCTTTCCAACATCTTTCTCACTGATCCACGATCATTTGTGCGCTTGTTTGACCAAACGAAGCTTTTTTATAGACGCATGTTTTGATGATAGTTTGTAGCCACTTCAGTTTTTCTTATCAAAAGAAAAAGAATAGTCAGTCCTAAAAAAAAAGACTCGAAATGACAGATTTCTTTCGTCAAGAGCTGATAGTCTCTATTAGATTCCATTTCATTATCTTTAATTCTTAACTGATTTCATATATTCTAAGACTGATTGAATTGAAAAACACAAACTGTGAAAACTTTTTGAAACATAGTTCTCATGAAAAAATCATGAGTGTCCATCGAGAGGTTGCATTGTGAAATAATTCTTTTTTGTCTTAAAACTTTCACTCAGAAAAAATCTGTGTGACGAATTTTTTTATTATGTGAATTTTAAAGTCAACAAAGTGGAAAATCATGCCATCAGATCTCGTACTCTTGTGAACTTATGACTTGAGTTTTGCATGAAAAAAACTACGTTCAATTTTCTGTCAACTTCTATCCGGAAGAAAAATGCGTACAAACTCAAAGTATATCTAACCGAACTCCATACATTATTTGCTGATACTAATGTGAGTTTTTTTTTGCCTCTTAACAATGATTTTCTACTCGTAGTTACCAGAAGGTGCCTATACTTTTGGTAAATACTTAATTAATTAATTTTTTATTAGAATACATATGCAACACAGTTGATTTCAAAATCCCGTCATAATTGCTCATTCATGTTTCTGATTGAACGCACGTGTGTGACAAAAAGATAACCTTCTAGAAGATGACATGTCAACTCACTATGCGAGTCTTGTGGTTCAATATCCTGCTTTTGAAAGACTACACTATTTGAATATAATATGTTTCCGGGTTAAGTACAGGGCGTATTTGCATTTAGTCAAAAATAAACACAAAGCATTATTTATCTCATTCAATAATTCAATATAATCTTCTTGATGAAATAGTTCTCACTGTTGAATACTCATTTATATGGTTTTCTCCTGTCGCACATGGACAGATATCAAAGTTAATACTTGAAGAGACTGTTAATCAAGCCGTGCATAATAATGTCTAAGATACTAAACGATTCGTTTCTGCTACTTGAGGAACTTCGAAGAAAAATCAGAAATTGTGATTTTCTCTTGTTGATTTCATCTTATTTCGTTGTGATTTGTTGCATATGATTTACTATTTAATTCTCTACGAAATTGGTGAAAAAAAAAGCTTGACATTGCTCTGCTTGATAATATTATACGAAAAACTACAAAACAACCATCTACGAAGTCTCGTCAAAATTTTATATTGAAATCATGGTAACTTGATAAAGGTTTTCTATACTTACATGGTAACAACTTAATACATATTCTTCAATACAAATATCTAATCAAGAATTTTTATTCTTACCAAAAAATAATCTAAGTAGAGATGTACACATTTACAATTTTTTAAAGTTAAACTTTATCAATCGAATTTTAAACATCAGAAAGAAAGTTATTCGTTTGATAGATATATAACAGAAACATGAAAAATAGCATATAAATAGTTTTGCAGTTATTGACTGAATCGAATATTAACTTCAATTGAACATGTGAGATGGGACAATTTCAATGGTTATTTCATTCTGTTGTAATTGATCATCAAAAGATACTCCTTGTACTTTAAAACGAACACCCGGGGCTAGCATGACCTCTTGTTCACGTGGATAATAGGAAATTTCCGTCAAATCAGAATATTGATCGTTGATATCAGCTTGTATCAGCTTAATGATATACAATGTATTGTTTCTGAATTTTTCTGCTTGATTTCGTTGTTTTGATGTAGAAACAAATGTTGTCCATTTGAAATATTTATTTGTTTGTCCGACTGCTTTCTTGTATTCATTGATTGTTTGTTCTGAAGCGAAATCACATCGATAAACAACAAGTGAAGCCATTTTTATGTGACGAAATCGTCGTTTATAACGAGATAACCAAGCATTGTTTACATGAGAACCAATATAATTGTATAGAAGAAAACAGTAAGGACCGAGTGTATGTAATTTAGAAAAATCATTCTTGCGTAAAGTCTTATTCAATACTTTATACAAAAAGAATTCGCCTGTATAAATCTTAGCACAACATTGACGTAGAAACTTCATACGTAGATCTTCATTTGCATCCCTGTATCTGTGTCTTGTTTGTTCTAATTGATTAATAATATCTTTCAATGTATTCTTCGATTCTTTTGCAATATGAGCTTCAGTTTCGATACCATGTACAAGTAACGGAAAGATGTCTCTAGTTCTTGGATTTGAATTTTCATTATTACAGTCTTGGATCCAACGGAACGCAAATTCACAACCATAAACTAAACCATTATCTTTTACAGTATTTCCTAGAATAGTATCAAGTGGATATAAATAACGTGTTGACTCAATAACTTCATTTTCAACATCCTCAGATGTACATCTTTTTACTTCCGCTTGTTGATTTCTATCATGTACATTAAATTGTATCATATTTTCGAAGTCGACCACGTAATCATTATCGATGATTACTGTTGATTGATGACTATTGTAGGCATTTTCAATCATTGACGATATATGTAGTCTGTGCTTGTTCCATTGCGGTCGTGTTGTATCGGCGGATGGATTAATCTTCGATTTCCATAGCCAAATTACGGCATGGCCGTTGTCATTATTCAAATCTGATGCGAACTCTTGAAGGGAACTCATCTAGAACAATATAATATCTTAATTCAGATCTAGACATTCGCACCTACAACTTCATTCAAGATATGTGTTTTTTCAGATGAGTGTGCACTTTGATGATTTTTTTTCTCGTTAGATTGAAAATTAATTGATTCAAAAAAAAACACTTGAATATGTAGAGGTCGAATATTTCTCTCGAACGTAAACAAATCGTTTCCAGATAACTTGTACTATACATGTATTGCGATATGAGACCTTATGC